GGGACTAATTTATACTTTTCCCAGCATCCAAACTATCCACAGCATTCCCGTGCTCCAAGTTAAAGAATTATACCAGAGATTATACCAAAAGAAAGAGCAAATAAACGGCCTAACTTATAAAATCGGTCGGGGAGGGGGTTGGAGTTATCAGGGCCAAAAAATCTCCTTACACCAACTAGATGCTTTACTAATATTTCACCTCTGAAAAAGGAGGAAATAAAAATGTAATACTTTTGGTCTTAACTTTATACTTCGGTCTTAACATTTAGCAGCCAAAAAGCCAGGTGAAAGTGTGGAACAATGTGGAACACAAAAAAAATGCTTATGTCAACATGTAAATCTTAAAGTCTTAAACTTTCATAATAAAAACTTAAAGGCTAACACCAGCACTTTTTATTTTGTGTATAAAACATCACCAAAGAAAAAAGTTAAGCAAAAAGTAAACCAATTAATCGAGAAAAGAGGCTAATTTTGGCTACTCTTTTTTTAGTCTGCTTTCCTCTCTCTTTCTTCTCCTATATTCTTGTCGGTGAGGTTGGGCATTATACCATTTTCACCATTCGGGACTTTTATATTTCAAACCAGAAGGAGGGAGCAGGGATTTTCTTTTTCTTTCTCTCGTGTTTGGTTCGGTCTTTTTCTCTCGGCTGGTTCTAACTATTGGGGATTGCTTTTGGCTTATTAACTCCTTAACGGTTTGCTTGATTTCACTAATTCCTTGCTGCCATTCTCTCACCATCTCGGAAATCTCATAATGAAACAAAATCCTTTCTAATTTTTCCTGCTTTAATAATTCCTGGGTTTTTCTAATCTCATTTAAAAGAGTTTCGAAAGAAATTTTATTAGTCGGTTGTTTATACTTTTTCCTGGGTATAAATTGTTTATCTTTTATACCTGGTTCATTTATACCTTGTTGGGTTAAACTTTTTCTTTGCTCTAATAATTGGTTTATGTTTTCTCCTCTTTCTCGGGCTTTCTTAATTGCCATAGATAATCGGGCATATTCTTTTCTCTTAATGGGATTAGTGATTGGCATGGTAATTTATACTTAATATTATTTTACACTTTTATACTTTATACCCTATAATTTATTTATACCGAATTATGAGAAAAAGAAATGGTAAATGAACCAACCATAAAAGGCTATTCAAAAGCCAGTCAAGCAATAAGAAATTCCACCAATGTATTTACACTATGGACTGAACTAAACTCTTATGAAAATGCCAGGGGATAAGAGGCTGTAAATCCTACCGAGAGGGGCAAAAGAAAGAAGAAAATATTAAGCAATTAAGAGAGTGGGGATTTGACGAATAATTAATCTCTACTTTTCTCACGTGCGTATAGAGGCATTATTCTCGGCTTTTGTATTGCTTTGCTCCTTATGCTTTTTCTTTTCCTATGGTTTATATATGAATTAAAAAAACTAAGCAAATTATAAGCAAATGAAGCATTAAAAAGTTAAGACTTTAAGAGGAGGACGGGAGGACATAAATTATCAATGCCTTTTTCTAAAACTTTCCCTATGGTGTAAAACTATATAAGGCTTTACGGAGGGAAGAGAGGAAAAGGGGACAATAGGCGGAAAATCAATACTTTTACTCGGGTAAATGTTTTTTAAGGAGAAATATAGGAGAGAAAAAATTAGTGAGGAGAAGAGAAAGAAAAGTCCCGAGAAAAAGAGCACTTAAACAGGGTTATAATTGGGGCAGTTCCTTCCTCAATACTCTCGACATCTTTGCTTTTCCTGGGCAATTCATTCCTGGTTAAAATGGTTAGGGTAGGCTCCAAGCCCTTCCAGCATGATTTCAAAGCTTCATATTTTTGGTTCTCAACGACCTTCGATAAAAACATATTCCTTACCCTCGATTATTTTGGAGTTAGCATTTTCGGCTTTTGGTTGGGGTTCACTATTCTTGTTGGGTTCTACTAATTCGGGTTCTACATCAGAAAAAGTTTGACAGGGTTCTACGGGTTCTACTTTTTGTTTAGTTGGTTTGGGTTCTACGAAATTATTGGGTGAGGGTTCTACACCAACTTTTAATTTTTGTCGGTTCTCTTGGGCTCACTTTCTTTTGGCTGCTCGGGCTTTTTCAATATCTTTATAAGGCATAAATTAATACTCGATTTCTCTCCTGCCTCGTTCACATCTTTCACACTGGCTTTTAAATAGTCGGTTCAGGGTTTTTTGCTGTTTACACTTGACACACGGGACTAATCACACATAAAAGCCTCACAGAATATTACCGATTATTCCTAAAATGGTGCTAATAATTAAGGCTGTTATTTTGTCCTGTTCGGTCATATTAAGTCATTATTCCTCTCTCGGAATGCTTTTCAGGCTGAAAAAGGGCTAAAATAATTTCCTAATATATTAAAGAAATAAAATTAGAGTAAAAAATTAATTGTCATGGAAGATCAAAATCAGCAAAAAAAATGCCAGTTATGCCGAAAGGTAGTTGATATATTATGTGACTATACTAGTGTTGAGGGAGAAAAGACCGAGAACATTTGTCAAGATTGCTGTGGCAAAATAGCCGAAAAAGAAGAGGAGGAAAGAAAGTGAGACGAAGAACAAAAAAAATATGGTTCGGATTATCACCAATTAGCAACTTCCCAACAAGAAGGGAGAGAAAAAGCCGATAGCAATTGAAAAGATAAAAGGGATAAGGGATACCGACGAAGGAAAATTTGCCGTTATTGTGTTCGGGAATTCCCGTGGGATAAAGATTTAGACTTTTTACCAGCCAAACAGAAGGTCGAAAGAGAGTTAGAAAATCACGAGCATATTTGTCCGAAAAAAAATGATAAATCCGGTCGGCAAAAATTAAAGCAAGAAAAATGAGAAAAAGACAGGAAAACAAAAACAAGTTTTTTTTACTCTTGTGCGAAATGTTGAGGGAAAATTAGATGGGATAAAAAAATTAAGAGTGTGAAAGCAGCCAAAAAACAAGCCGTGGCCGACTCGACTTATCACAAAAAAATAGAATGTGGTAAAAATTTAACTTCTTATAATATTGCCGTTTACTTTTCTCCTCCCCAAGGAGGAAATAAGCATGCTGACCTTATTTATGCTGACGGGATTGATAAAAGTTTATTGACTATCGAGCAAGATAACCAAGGGGAAATTTACCAAGAACCCGTTAATTGAATTGGGTGAATAATAGGAGGAGTGGGAATATTAGCAGTAGGTATAGGTGCTTATTTTTTAATTAGAAAAAAAAGGCAGTCAAGCAGCCAGGAAAAGTCCCAAGAAAAACATTAAAAGGTTTAAGACTTTAAGATATAAAAGTATAAATTAGACAATAGGCGAAGGGTTATTGCTCCTTCTCTATTTCTTTTTCCAATACTCCTATTCAATGCTTTATTTTGGTTTTTTCCTCTTCAGTTCTCTCGGGGTTTTCTAACTCTTTTTTAAGTTGGGTTATTTCTTGCTGGATTTTATTCATATGTCTTTTTATCAGCAGCAACGAGCCTCCAAACCATCAATAAAAGTTCTAACATGTAAATATTCGTCCAAGTCAGGTCAATAAATAGTTTTACCATCGGCCAAGATTTCGTATCTTTTTAATTGTTCGTCACTAGCATTGTTAAGATTAAAAAAATTGGGATTTTGTAGTCAATTTTTCGGAATACTTACCTCTCTTTTGTCGAATAATTGGGCTACCAACTCTTTTTTCTCTACTATTAACTGGCTTATCTTTGGATAATTATATTCTTGGTAAATAGGAGGGGTTTTTATTTCTGATTGGATTTCTCTTGCTCTCATTATAATATTATTTTTCTCCTTTTCCCCGTTTCTTATATTCTCGTCACTTATCCATAACTTTATCCATGTTTTTCTTCAAAAATTTCTTTATTCCTGCCACTTCACTAGGAGCCATGTTTCCTTTATCTTTGATTTGACAACTAGGAACTCAAATTTCCATTCAATAACCATGTCCCTCAACATGGACATGACTAGGCTCATATTTTTCTAACACTTCCCCAGCATGGAAGAAAAATTTAAAGCCACGATAACTCTTTTCTCTCGGAAAAATTGAAGGGGACATTACATACCCACTTCTGCCTAATTCTTCTGGGTAAGTTAAGCCAATATCAAAATATTTCGGGTTGGAATTAAAACTAGAAGCAAAAGAAAATAAACTTTTTCTCTTGTCTTCTTCATAACGACAATTATTACACCTATCAAAATATTTTCCTTCTTTTCAATCTCCCTGACCAGCAGGGCATTTTGGACACTCTTTTTTTTCCATAAGTTATTTTTTCTACTCCAATTCCGTTTCTCCTTCCCCTTCTCCCTCGGGTTCTCAATATTCTTCTTCACTCTCTCCCTCTTTTTCTTGTTCGTCCTCTTGCTCTTGCTCGTCTTCAATTTCGTCCTCTATTTCCTCTTCCTGTTCTGGCTCCTCCTCTTCCTCTCATTCGGTTTCGGACTCTTCTTCTAATTCTCCCGTGAGGTCTCCAATTTCTCCTTCGGGCTCTTCCATTTCCAAGTTATCTATATCAATTTCCTCCTCGATGGGCTGCTCGGTTTCTTCTTCTCGGGTTTCTAATTCGGCTGGGTCGATTTCGTTAGTATGGGTTTTGATTTCTTTATATTCTCGACGAGTAAATTTCCCGTGGACTCTCACTGATAAATTAGTGCCGTTTAGTTTGATAGTTAACTTGTCTCCCTTTTGACCTGTGTCTAAACTACCTGAACTATCAAAGCCGATTATTTGTTGGGTATAAATACCTTCGGGAATATCAATTGTAGCCGTGTAATCTTTGTTATGTCAGAAATACCAATATTTATCATCGTCTTTTCGTTTAATAGCATCAGACGGGAGAGCCTTAATGGCTGGCTCTAAATAATTTATGCCCGTGGCTTCGTTTTCTACTCGACTACCTTTTTTAATGTAAACGGAGGTGCTAGCTGGTCGGACTGTGTCTCCTCCCGTATTTTCTTGGCCGTCGTAATGTTCCTCGATTTCTATGATTTCGGCTTCGGTGATATCCCAAGCATTCGAGCCTAATTCCAAGTAATTAGGGGCTTTTTCATATTTGAAATCGGGTTGCTCAAACTTTTCTCCTCCCGTTAGCCAAAAACCTTTATTCATCAGGTTAGTAAAGAAATTATCCACATCACTTTCTAAATAAATTTCTCCTCATTTCCAATAACCTTTTTTCAGTCCGAGGTTAGCATATTTATGTCATTGGACAGATAAGCCATTAGCAGCCAATTTGTTTTTGTTGTTGGCTCAATTAAGACGATTGGCTAATAATTCACTATGCTCTACTCGATAAAAAAGTATTGGGTCGGTCATCCGATTAAAAAATTCTCCTAAGGAATAATGAAAATCGATAGTATTGGCATTAAACATGCTAGGCTCGATGCTTTTATCTAAAAAGTTCCGAAAAGTGCTTTTAAACATTCTTTCCGTTTGGGCTTCTTGTTCGGTGGGGGTTTCTCCGATATGGGTTTCAGCTTTCTTATTAGCATTTTCCAAATTAAAGTCAGTTTCGGCTCCAAAATTGCCAATTGTTGCTGCCATTCAGGCAGGGACCTGGGCTTTAACCTTGACATAAGACATATAGCGAAGAGGATTTTCATAATCTTCAAAAATAGCTTCAGTGCTGATTTCACACTTGACGGCTATATGCTGGAACTCTCACCGATAATACAAATTACCAGGAGCAAAGTTAAGATAAAGTTTGTAAGGCAAAACGAATTGGAATTTTTG